ATACGTAGTTGTGAATCTACTAGTGTTGCAAATAGGTGTCGATGAGGTTCTGAAGGCCATCGAGATGGGCACGAGCGTTGGGCGTTAGTCGCCATCCTGGAGTTATTTTGCGTTACGCTACTTTGTCTATTTCCGTTCAATCACTTCGACTGATACTGTTCTGCCCAGTTTCGTTTATACCGGATCATTGTGACTGCTGTTGCTGCTATTGTTGTTGTATGATCAGAAAGTAGTCACTGTTGTTTCCGTCGGTTGATATAAGTTTTGGGAAGAGGGGAAACTGTTGTAGGTATTAGTCGTTGTAAAAACACCTTCCATCTGCTAGAATTCGACATGTACCCGTTTTGCAAGCGTAGCAAAGCTCGCTCGAAGTCGGGTTACCGCCACGTATAAGTGACATAGGTACATCACTATCGTTTGGGCGATATTCAGCTCCCATCTGTGGACTTGCTGTTTATCTGTTAGTCTCCGTTTGCCCATTGAATTTTCAATAAACTAATATTGTTCAATGGTTTGTATTATCTCTGAAGATATAGTGTTCGTTGTCCGTAGATCACGCAAGATGCTGTTCCGGATGCTGTCTATTAGATCGATCTTCGCTGATGAGATATACCCACTGAACTGATAATTCCCCATACGCTGTTATTTGGGTGGAGACATACGGAGTTGGGTTAATAACTGTTGTCAATACTTCGATACAAACCTGCTATATAGACGAATACTTGTCTCTCGCTCTAACTCTGTAACGGTTCGTGATGGATAATGCGTGTTAGTATATTCAAGGTTTCAGATTCGTAATCGTCGAATCAGCGAAGTAACAACATTTCCTCATTTTAGACTCTCGGGATTGAACACGCTGTAAGCGAGCAGGACAATCCTTCGGATACTGTCATGCTCTTCGGACGAAATTCAATGATCGAATTTCGGATTACCTACTAAACAAAGTCCTGAGCTCAAATTTCCAATCAGAGCTTCGTATTCTAGATAGTGTTCGAACTACTACCCTACCTGCCACTGGAATTATTCGATGTTAGGGATCTTATCTTTGGACTTTACCATTGAAACGCTCCTTAACGATGCATGATCGAATAATCACGTCTTGCTTAAGCCTCAACCGACTTCTTTAGCGATTGCCTCCATTCTCGCGGATATTGGGATGTTGATGCAGTGCGTCGGTGTTAGTTTATGAAACCGCGTTGGTATCTTGTCGGGCGCTTGTGCAACGAAACGGTCACTCACTATGATCTCGTTTCTCATCAATTCTTGGTGGGGGTAATCTCGTCTGAGTACAATGTTTTTGATGTAATAGGCCCCCGCGATGCCGCTGATACTGTCAAGGGTTATCGCTTGGTTCCATTAAGTCTGACATACCGACGTAGTGTGTGTTGGTATGCTCAGTGGTGGATGAGTAGCCTTCCGCAAACTGTTATGTAGATTCTTTGCATTCCCATGCGATTTCTTTGTCGTCCACTCTTCCTCCTTTCTGCCTTGTTCACCGTGCTTCCAGCTGGTGGGGTTTCGGGTTTCTCGGTTGAACAAGTGTATCACCAAATGATGAGTGACTTGACTGCAAGGAGAAATGAACAACTATCTGTTCGTAGGGTGGAGAAGATCGCACGAGGAGTCGCCGGTAAGTTGGGCGGAAATGGCACATATTTATTATTTCCAGGACACTTGCATTTTCAGGGATGTTTCTTGTCAGGTATTGCTGCCGGCCTTGGCGCGCAGGTTAAACAAGAGTGGAGATAAACCCGATGAGTATTTCGGAAGACTTTATAATCAACGTGAAGTTGGTGCGTATTATTAGACGAAGATGTGACTTTAGCTGTGTATACCGATTATTTATTTCGATCGCTATTTGATACCTTTTCATTACATTGTTCGGAGATGTGCTCTCTCGAACGTAGAACAATAATTTGTGAATGTTCGTCGTCGCATTGTAAGGCAGATGACTTTTGGGTAAAGGAAGATCATGGAATCACCTTGGGGATTGAGTTGTGGTCATAGTGAGGCTGTGATGGTCATCGTCTACCATGTTTATACGATAGCATAGTATGGCCACTGAGGGGAGCTATATGTCCCTATCTGGCTGTCAACGTGTGCAATTTATACAGCGGAAACATTGGTATCCGGATGTCTCGATTCGGAAGTCTCGAATAGTCAAGTGAATAGAAAAGCGGAGAAATTACAGTGTACAGAGATCACATGAAGTATCCATCTAATAATTTTCACAGAGTTATGGATTAGTAAGATATACGATTATGAAAGTTTTCCGCAAGTGAAACGTTTACACATTAAAATCTTGGAGAGGCACACTTGCGAAGTGTAACATGTGGAGCGATAGTTTCCTCCAACTTGCTTTCACTTTTGATTTTATTCTAAAGTTTTATATACTCTAATTGCGGGTCGATTTCGGGACGTAACTCACGAGTCGTAACCCACGACGCCGATCGCCGTGTAACATTTTGAATCGTTCAACACCACCGAGCGTTGTTTTGTTCCAAAGACTACTTGTTCATCGCCACATTAACTACGAAGTTGTTGAGTATAAACTCAGCATGAAAAAAATGATGCGCCTCTGATGTGGCTGAAGCTCTTAGAACTCGTCTCCTGCAAGCCACTTGTGAATAATTGTTCCGATTCAAACATGACTGGTGGAAATTGAGCCGCGCAGGTCCGATGGCCACGATTGTAGGAGATCCAAGCGAAAAGGATTTGCACACAAGTATGGGATGTATAGGATTAATTATGGCCGAGCATACAGAGGCGACACCGTACCGACCCGCCGAGGATAAGCGGAGTAGGAGGAGCCTTGCGCACAGGGGTCGCTCGCCAGGGTACTGCTAAACTGTGAAACTGTAGGATGCGTTTTCCCTGAAACGGCTCATTCTTCGCGCTTACGCCATGTGATGACGTATGGGACAACCTAGTACCCTCTGGTTAGAAGTAAATGTATCAACTCAGACTCGCGTTTACGCTCCTACCCTATTTACCATGCTATCACTGCGTGCTGCTCTCCGTACTTCGATGGTTACTGCTCTGCTGGGTACTTGTGTAGTACCAGTGGCAGGCACCCATTCCGATGATATTGATAATTTGGTTACTGCGATGAGGGCGACCAAGAGGAGCCAGAGACTTACCAAAGAACCGAGTAAGTGATTACGGTGGCGGTTGTGGAATTTGGGTTCATTTTTAGGTCAATCGGAGGTTCTCGCTTTGATCCACAAGGCTACACAAACTCCGAGCCAGAAGGTGCACCCGACTTACTGATCTACTGAGCTACTGGCTATCAGCCAAGCTTAACGCATTTCATTACTATCGAGTGGGCTACTATTCGCTGCTAGTGTTTGATCGTCGTCCAGGCGCAACCTTACAGCATACGGTGTCTTTCTTGTGGTGATAATTTGCGTAATTCTGTGACGTAACATCAAGCTCTCCATTTTCCGCATATGGCTGATGTGAATTTCGATTGCCTTCATTTCATAGATGATATAATAGACTTTTTGATCCCCATCATACAGTAGTAGCTGGAGTGTCCTCGGACCTTCAGACGCTCTTTACTGATGGTCTGTGTATTTACTCCTGCCAATCTGCTGCCGTGCTATTGTTGCTGCTGTTGTTCGTCGCGCAGTCGACTTCTTCTCGACCTGGCCGGTTGCCTAGACTCTGGCAGGTCTTCTGGTAGAATTGATGAATCGTACCGAGAGTTCAGCAAGGTGCTCCTGTACGCTTAGATCCTGCTGAAGCTAGTCAAACTGCTGCCACTAGATACCAATTGTTGCAGTGATAGGAAAGATTATATGACCACAGTTTCATTGTTGGAGATAACTGTGATGGAGGGAGAATAACATCTATGTTGTGTTGAGTATTGAAGTACCTGAGCTAGGTTCGCGGATCTCTCGGGATGTGATGCTTTGGCGTGCACTGAGTACCATTGGCGACATCAGAGTATTGAAGTATATCTTGGGGTGGTATAGTTGTCCCGATCGAGTGACTGATAGTACTGAGGCATATCTCGGGGCGGTATAGTGGCACCGACGAGAGGATCTAATAGCACGGGTGGCATAGTGGCCCCGACTAGGAAAACTAATAGGTTTGAGGTATAGTTTGGGGTGGCATAGTGGCCCCAACTAGGGAAACTAAAAGTATTGAGGTATAACTCGAGGTGGCATAGTGGCCCCGACTAGGTGAACTAATAGTATTGAGATATATCTTGGGGTGGCATAGTGGCCCCGACTAGGTGAACTAGTAGTATTGAGGTATATCTTGGGGTGGCATAGCGGCCCCGACTAAGTGAACTAATAGTATTGAGGTATATCTTGGGGTGGCATAGTGGCCCCGACTAGGTAAACTAATAGTATTGAGGTATATCTTGGGGTGGCATAGTGGCCCCGACTAGGTAAACTAATAGTATTGAGGTATATCTTGGGGCGGCATACCGGCCCCAACTAGAGGAACTAATACACCATATTTAGCAAACGAAAGAACAAATTGGAAAAATTGAATGCGATTTCCGTAAAACTACAGATTTTTTTCCACAGAATGAAAGTTCGAATCCGAAATGGAAGTTACGCAGACCGCTCGGAAAAAGAAGTTCAGATCCACGAAATCGGACACAGATGTCCAAACTCACCTAACACAAGACCAATTTCGACCGACGAAAGCACTAAAACGTTGAACGTTTTACATTTACCCCTTTCATCATCCTTGGCTTCGTATCACGCGGATCACTCGACCATGACGCCTATTAATACTTTTAAGCTAGGTGGATATAATCGTGCGTTAATATTTCACATTTTGCAATCTCTTCCACAAATTCTAATTACTTACTCCCCCATTTTCAGCGTATGCCTCTCTTATGCGTTGCTTCCAATCTATTCATTCTAAACGCCTTCCAACAATCCAACTCCACTCTTTTCAGTGCATTCCTAAATCTACATCGTGCGTAATTTCACCACGTTTTCTTGCAGTTCCTGCACTTAGGCAATTACCACTTTCGCGCAGTTCGTGCAAACTGTAAACCATGCACCAGTCGTATAGGTCTTTCTGACTCCTTCAAACCCTGTAGCGAGCCATTCCGGTCTAGGCTAGACCTTAACCACTACAGCAAATACCTTCATTGAACAAACATGTGATCGCCTTGCACTTTCCGCCCGAAGCCTTTCACAGCTATTAATTTTTACTTCCTACTACCTTAATGACAACCATCCCTGTCACCACTACGACAACTACAAACAACAACTACGACAGCAACAACAACAGCAACGACGACAACCACAACAACGAGTACAATAACAACAACAGCGACAACAACAACAACAACAACCCTAACATCAGCAACAGTAGCGCTGACAACGAAAACTTCCACAACGACCCCAACAATAAAAATGAACAATAAAATGGAAAAAGAAAGAATATTAATAACGAAATGGAAGAGTAAAGGAAGCAAATGACTACAGTACAACGATCATGATCACGGCAATATACAACGACGACTCCCACAGCTACAAGCACTGCGGACTACCAATCTGTACAACAAGAATGATTTCCGACTTTAATATTGCAGTATCAATGAGAGGACTGCAATAAAGAGAACACAATGAGAGGACTGCAATAAAGAGAACACAAAGAAAACATAGAAAAACAAAGTCTGCAACAAAGAAAAAAAACAAAAGAAAACACAAGCAAAGACAAAAAACAAAGTAAAAATAAATGGACAATTGACAATTCAAAGAAATGAAAGAAAAATACAATAATAGAAGAAAAGTACTTCACAGTCCGATGAAGTACATTAGTATGATGGTACAACCATTATTTATTTGTTATCATTATTTCTTTCCTTCTTCTCATTGCAAGGATTCCGTCCGACAAAGCCTACCATTGTCGCGAGACCGAAACACTCTCACAGCATGACTACT